GTCTGGCAATTTCACCCCTGAGAACTTCCTAAATCCCTCACCCCCATCAGGGACACTACTGCAATTCAATGGTGTCCTCCTCACACACCCTCCTGTCCAATCAAACCTGTTGTAGTCCTGTTGCGATCTGGGTATGAACCCAACCGGGCAGTAACAAATAGGTGATGCACTTATACTGCAGATGCCATTAGGACCACACGTTGCATAGTTGTCGCAAGCATCACCTTGCAAGGTGGTTATTTCGATCCATTCCCCGCGCCTTTGGTTCCATGTCAGGTGCATAAGCTTGCCTGTCTGGTTCACTACAAACCTTTTTTTTATCCGCAATAAAATAAAATATATATAGATTATTAACTTGAAATTTTTTGAAATAGGAAAAAAAACAAGGGTTAAAAACAGTTTGTATTCACGCATTTTATATCAAATTTCACTTTAATTTATCATTTTTCAATCATAATAGTTAACTTTCTACACTTCGGGTACAATTGTAATGGAACCCTTCCAGTCGGTAGTTTGGGTTAAATTGCCTAACCAAAACTGATTATTTAACAATATATATTTTTCTTCTCTTTTCTATTGTTTTTATACTTTTTCACGGTATTTTCTCTTTATACATATTTTCTAAACCCATTATAAGAAAGGGTTGATTGCGGTGATGGCAAAATTACCAGACCCGATTATATTGATTCCAACCCGATTTTAATGAAAAATGTTTGGGATAGCACTGATAAGGTAAGGTAAAGTATAGGGATAAGTAGGTCAAAATTGTTTAGGTGAAGATAATGTACAAAATAGTACTATTAAAATAATTCAGTTTAAAGTTAAGAATTTGCACGCAAAATCTGAAAAAAATCAACCCTTTGCCAAAATAGAGAGAAAGAAAAAAACAGTTGTGATAAAAATGGACTAATTAGAAAATATTTATTAAAAGATTACAATTTTTTTCTCAAAAAAGACCTGTGTGAGGTCAACTAACAATTTTCGTTAGAAATCTAATTAAAGGGTAAATTACACTGACCTCTATTGAAATTTGAATAAAATACAATAAACTCCACAAGTTTGATATAATTACACTAGGCTCCCTAAAGATTTTAATTCATTTTTTTTCATCAAAAATTTGTTAGTTTTATGAATAAAAAAATAATGTTGTTTTTTTTTTCTTTTTTTAATATTAAAATGTATATATTATTTTGTTTATTTTTATATTTTCATATCATTTGTGTCTCTTTAATATTATAAAAAGAGAAGTCAGTATAATTATGTTAAAAATGTGGAGTTTATTATTTTCTTTAAATTTTAAGGGAAATTAATATAATTTACCATCAATTAAACTAACAGAATGACCATCTTGTAACTTGAGGAGAAATACAAGTAGTTGATTATTAAATTTGAAAAATTAGTGACTAAAATAGAATTTTATGTATTTACCCAGGAAAAAAGCATCAATGTCCCAACTAAATTAGCACACAATTGAGACAAATCATATGCCAAATAAAAAATTAAAAAGATAATAATCCAAAGGACCTAAATACAAAGAAGTTGGCAAGGTGCCTACAAGATCCAAATACTACAAACCTCGAAATAGTAGTTGCATCTATATTCTCAAAGGTGTAGTAGACATAACTTGAGTTGAAGACGAAGATAGGATTGAACACTGTATTTTGTTCTAATGGCCGAGGAACTCCGCTAAACCGAACACCGTCCCAAGGCCCACCTCGATACTCCACCGTTAATCCTTTACGAAGAAGTATTTCTGGGAGGCCATGACGGTCTAATCTGTACGTATAGTCGCCAGAAGATGGATCTTGCAAGGTTTTCCACGACGTTATGTACCATTCTTGATTGGTTATCAAGTTCCATCCCAGCTTCATACCGGGTACTAACGTATCGCATGGATAATCAAAACTTTGCCAAAGATAATCGCCGCCACCATTTTTCACAACAAGGTTACCAGAGTCTAGCAGCTGCAAGATTGGGTTGTTTGGTGGTGTTGGTGGTGGTGATGACGAATTTGAGGAAGACCACACGGCGGTTGTTTGGTTGGTGGTGGTGTTGGTGGCAGTGATGATGATGTCTCCGGTGGCAGTGATTGTGAGGAGGCCTGATGAATCCGATATTGGGTTGTTTTTGTTGGCCACCCAAATGGGTGTTCGTATTGGGATATTCTTAAACCATATTCCGATATAGCGGTTGTTGGAGTTGAATGGACTGAAGAACCCTAACTCAAAGGCTTGGCCGGTGGAGACAAGCGGGTTACTGTTGTCCGTGAGGGTTTGGGCTGGAGATAGGGTGTCGATTGCAACGGAGAGTTTGGAGGATAGGGAGAGAGAAGTGAAAATGGAAAAGAAAAAGAGTAGAACAACCATGGTTCATGATCGCAATTATTAGAATCATAAAACATTTTATTTGAACAAATAAACAGATCACGTGGTTAGACTTTACTCTTAGTATATTTAAACTTGACTTAATATATTTAAACTTGACTCAAAAGAAGATTAATAATGTGAACACAGGGAAAACGATTACAGACAGTTCAATTGTTTCTAGAAAGCAAGTAGAAAAAATGAAAAAAATAAAATAAAAATCTATCAGTGTGTTTGATTTGAGTTTTTTGAATTAAGTTTTTTGAAAGTTGAGTTTTTTGATTTTTGTGTTTTTTTGTTTTTAGTGAATATTTTTAAAATTTTAAATATATTTTTTATTTTTTTAGATGCACTACCTTACCTAAATGTATCTAAAAAGTAAAGAATTTGTGAAAAAATATTTTTAAAAATTAATAAATACATAAAAATACAAAAAATGTATTAAATTCTCGTATTATTTTTTGTATTTTTGGTATTTAGCGAATTTTTAAAAGTTTTTTTAAATTTTTTTTTTACTTTTTAGGTATATTTATGTTAGGTATGTCTAAAAATTAAAAAAATTGTTCAAAATATTAAAAAAATTCAGTAAAAACAAAAAAAATAAAGAAAATAATAAAATAAAATTTTCTAAAAATTATTTTTAAAAAATGATAACCAAGCATAATCCTTTGAATTAAATAGCCGCCTATCAAGACTCTATTAAATAACTAGCGTCGGCAGGAATTGATGTGTGAGTTCATTTCAAATGTTTATTCAAATCTATTAGTAAGGGTTGGTTTGGGATGTTCTAAAAAAGTATGTTTTTTGATTTATTAGCTTATATAGGTTGGATTTGGGTTGGGTTTGATGTGATGTGTTAGAGATGTGATGTGATTTAAATAAGATGATTATTTAGGTCATGCCAAACTTGGCCTAAATTTAAATTTAGTAAAAAATTACTCATTTTTTTTTTTAATTTTAACGGTTTCATCAAATAGATATTAAATTCACAATTTCATTTTTCTTTTATCAAACTGAAAATCAATGTACCTTTCATTAAATCACTGTTCATAGCCGTTTGATTTTCATCCCAGATGACCACTTCAAGACAAAATTTTATGAAAAAAATTACACTGACCGATTGACCCCCCAGTCGTCCGCCTGGTCAGCTCCCCGGATGACCACTTCAAGAAAAAAATTGTGAAAATTTTGCACTGGCTAGTCGATCGGTCGGACATCCGCTCGGTCGTCCACCCGGTCGACCGGTCAAATATCTGCCCGGTTATCCGTCCGATCGACCGGTGTTCTAATGAAGTTTCAAAAACCTCTGTTAAAGCACTTGATAACAAATGAAACTTTTATCCAAATTCGATAAAAAAAAATTAATGCACTGTTAGAGATGCTATGAGTAGGGGTGTGCGTAGTGCGGTTCGGACGGTTTGTGAGTAAAATTACAAACCGAATGCGCGGGTTGGTGGATTAGCGGATTGAAAAATTGCGGTTTGGGCTGTTTTTGGCGGATTGAAAAATATTCTAACTAATTATCATACATTTGCATAATATATAATACTAATTTGTATAATATTTTTTAGATATATAATACAAAGTAATTTTACATAATATGTTTCATATATATAACCACTAATTTATAATAAATTCCACATCTTAAATCTCACTCACACTCATTTTTACATTGATATTTTATTGGTGGTTAAAAAAAATATATGTATTAAATATAGCGGAGCGGAGCGGTTCGGTTAGTGGATTATAAATTTTAAAGTTTAAATTGCGATTCACGGTTAGATTGGTGTGGATTGATGCGGATTGGTGCAATTTTAGCGGATTTGAAGCTATTTTGCATAGACCTAGCTATGAGAGTGACCCCTTGAAGGCCCTACATCTCTCTATCTCACTACAACATATAAGAGTTGGTCTCTAAAATTGAAAATTTTGTTGCAAAAGATATTTATATATTAATTTCTATCGTCATAGGAATGGTCGCTAAAAGGTTGTCTCAAAAAGTCAAAAGTAAGGATTTTAGCAACAAAAATTTGAAAATGTCACTAATAAATAGACTTTTGGGAAAAAATAATTTAGTTTCAAAATGGTTTGTTTTTTGAGACAAAAAATTTGATCTCAAAAGGATAATAATTCATCACTAATGTTCATTTTTGTTGCTAAAAATATAATGACACTTTTCACAACAAAAATATTTAGTTTCCAAAAAATAATTTTGTCCCTAAATATGATTTCTAAAATCTTAATTTTTTTGTAATGTCTGTACAGTTGGATGGGTAAATATATATATATATATATATATTTAATTGTTTGAGAAAAATTTTAGGGATCGGAAAGTACAAATATATTTGTTAAAAAAAAAAAAGTATGAATCTATATAACAATGAAAGGGTTCATTGGAAAATGTCTTTGAAATTAATGGTTTAGATCTATCTAATTTAAAAAGCAATGGCTCAGATTTATTTTTGAAAATGTCTCTCTCACAAACTATCTTTAATGGTTGAGATTTGTCAAATTAATGGTTTAGCAATGGCTGAGATTGAAAAGAGTTTCAATGGTTTAGATTTATCAATGACTAAAATTCAATGGTGGAGATTTGTTTACTTATCTATTCTCACCAACCCACTGCACTTACCAGCTAAGCCACTCTTTACATCATATCATATGTATCAATGAACAAGGAAGAACACAGCTCAATCGAAAGCTGTCTTCTCTACCATCACCAGGTAAAGCACTCTTCTCTCCTCACTCTTCTCTCCTCTGTTTTTTTTTTCATCATCTCGTCATCCCCACCTTTAGTTCGAATGCTAAACAATGGCTTACATTTTTTTTTACCTTCAGTTTTTTTTTTTCTGAAGCAAAAAAAAAAAAAAAAAAAATTCTGAAGCAAAAAATTTACTTACTCTGTATCTGAAGCAAAAAATTCAGAGGGTTAAGATGATTTGTTTGTTTTAGCTTTTTCCATTCAAAATTTCTTTATTTTAGCTTTTTCCCTCCAATGTGTCTCTTCACATACTCCACCAACTCTCCATTTTCCTCACTGGTTTTAGCAATCTCCAGCAACTCTTCATATGTGTTTCTTCTCTGCTCTTTCACTCTTCTAACCAATGAAATGGGTTTCTATATCTGTAAATATTGATGGATTTTAATGATGGATTTTGATTTCATTGATGGATTTTCTATTTCGGTTCCATTTCCCATGTTTCGATTATATATGATGGATTTTGATTTCATTGAAGTGGGTTTATGATGGGTTGAAAATTTACATTTTCTTTTTGTACGTTTGAAATTAGTTGCAAATATGATAGGTTTATATATTTCTATTTCATTGATGGGTTCGATTTTGGTTTTGATTTCTATAAAATTGTATTTTGGTTTTGTAATGGGTTTATATTTCGATTATGATTATAATGGGTTTTGTAACGATTATAATGGGTTTATATTTCGATTTTGGATTTCTATGAAATGAGTTTCAATTTTAGGTTCATATTTGTGGGTTTCATCAACTAAACCTATGAGGATTTCAGAAAAGTATTGAATAAGATTTCTATGAGTAATTGAAATGGGGCTGTTTGCAGAAAAGTATTTCTATGAGGATTTCAAAAAACTATTGACATGGGGCTGTTTGCACCTTGTTAATTTTCCTCTTCTTAATTCATTATCTATCAAAACAAACATATTCATGTTTCAGCAAATATCTGCGACTCATCTGAGAGTATGTGAATTATTGATTGTTTCTTAGTTTAGACATAAGTAAAGATATACTTTTTAAAAAAAAACAAATAAAAAAAACCTTTCCTCAACTGTAAAAAATTATCTCCAGCAAGATTACTAGGGATTTATTCAACTTATTGAACTAAAGTTCGAAATATTGTCAGGGTCAATTCATTCAAACAAAGAATGCAATTCCAAGAGTTCACTGTTTTATTATTCAGGAGAATGTGAATGGGACAATTAAAACTGCTGAATGATATTTGCAGAATTTGGCTTGAAATTTGAATCTACAATTTTCTTTTGAACATTCATCCAAGAATTGAAACCCAAGCCCACTGAAACCAAAGTGACCATACACATGAAGGTCTTCTGTGTAGACATCCCAAAGATAGCACCTAATATTAGGTCTTAGGTTTGATTTTTTCTATAGACCCATTTTGGTCTGCTCTGCAAATCTTAGTTGCATGAATCTTCTATTGAGGTGATGATTCCGCTCTAGAACTGTGATTCTGCGGTTCAGAATAAGAATCTCGTTATAACCACATTTCTGTCAACATAGAATCATGGTTTCAATTGGGATAGGACCACTAAAACATATGAATCCCAAAGAAATCAAAGAAAAACTACCAAGAAAAAAAAATATTGGTAGAGAACAAATATTTATCCTCGATTTTGGCTTTCCTATTATAAATTAAAGGATGAAATTTTTTAATAGATCTTTCAATTTGGGTTCTGTGAGGATTGAAGAGTACAGATATGGTGATGAATTGTTACTTTTGGAATGAAAATTTATTGTACTTATGTTTAACAGTGTAACTGGTTATGTAATATATATAGATATACATATATTTTAAAACTAAGAAACAAAAATAATTCAGACAATATATTTATAGATAATCAAATGAGTTTTAAATGAGACTCATCTGAGAGTATGTGAATAAGATTTCAAATGTTATTGATTGTTTCTTAGGTCCTTGCATGCATTACAAAAGTGTTTTAGTGAGATGTTACGGCCTTTTTACTTAGTCCTTCGCGTTTTGGGCCTCGAGGCCAGACTCGGAGCTCGGCCCAATTTTTCCCAAAAATTACCCTCTCAAGAAGTATGCAAGGAGTGAGCTTTTCTCCTTGGTTTTCCCTTTCCTTTCCTTTTTTGTTTTGTTTTTTTTTTTTTTCTGATAGTATTGTGCATACAATGCACTCTATTCTAATACACGATCACTTTTGAAAAACTTGGCAAAAATTCTTAGCCTATTACATTACTCCCCTTTACATTTTTATTTTCCTCCTCATCTCTTCCTCATCCTCACTACAATTTTCATTCCCAACCTCTTAACATTGGTGTTATTTGCAGATTTTCAGGTCACCTGCTAAACCGCTTGTGCCTGCTGTTTCTGGACGAGTCCAAGGTATTTTATTTTAATTTTTTTTTTAAAAAAGGCTCTCTTAAACTGTTTTTCAAGAATAGTATTATTGTTGCTTCATGAAGCCAATTTATGACATCTATTAAAGCATTCCAATTTATACATGAAACACAATTAATGAAATTTATTTTCTTTTACTCTCTATAAAGCTCTGTTATTAGAATCGTACGATTCGCAATTCAAATCGTACAATTCGATTCAATTCGGTGGGTAATCGATACGAACGGGTTGTGTGAATCGCAAATAACTATGAATCGGTGAACCGAATTGGTAAATCGTGAATCAATTGGATTTGCTAAAATCGATGTTTGGCTTTCTTTTTTGGTTTTTTATTGTTGGATAAGGGTTCACAAAACCTTAATCAAAAGTCCATTTTATTTTGCACCCTGTTTTTGGGGATAATAATTCCTATAATAATTCCCATTTTATTTTGCACCCTGTTTTTGGTGAGCTTTAATAGCAAAAACAAAAATGTTAAACATTTTAAAATTTTTATCAAATGTTAAACAAACTAAAATTTTGTATTGTGTTTTTTTCTTTAATTATCAATTGGGTTTCAACACCCACTTCTCTCTCTCTCTATCAAATGGGGGTTAAGGAAAAATGAATTTCAAATTAAGAATGAATGTGAACCAAATTTTTAGTGAGATGCCTTACTGAAAATGCATGTGAACCAAATTTTTTTCATACCTCATAACTAGCTCACTACAACAAAAAAGGTATATGGTGACAAAAACGCGTGACGAAAAAATAGTTCGTCTCCAAATATACATGTTTTAGTGATGAAAATAAGATTTCGCCTCCAATTGTACTATTTTTAGAGACGAAAACCAAATTTTGTCACCAAATGCTTAAAATCAAATAAAACAATAGGTGACGAAAATTTTATTCGTCTCTAAATTTTATTTTTCGTCACAAAACAATTTCCCGCCCTTGGAAAATTTGGTGGAAGATTTGGCGCCATTTTGGAGATGAAATTTTTCGTCGCCATTGTAAAAAAATTTAGAGAGGAAATAATTTCGTCTCCAAATGTATTATTTTTAGAGAGAAAAACCAAATTTCGTCACCAAATGCTTAAAATCAATAAAAAAAATATTAGAAATCTAGGCTATTGTGACAAAATTTGGTGACGAATTTTTTTTTGTCTTAAAATTTAAGCCAAAGATGGCTGTAGACGTCCCCGAACGCCCCGGGAGGGTGAGTCCCGTTCTGTTTATTTTGGGGTCACTACAGCTCAGGACTCTCAAATTTGTCACGGTTCTAAGTCTGAACCAAAGAGTCCAAATCCGGCAAATCGTTTTGAGAAAAACAGATTTTTGAAAGAAGTGCCAAACATGGACTGCTTTGCGTAAACACATGATGTCCCCTAACAAGATGTTCGGCTTTGCAAAGCCTTTTGACACGGGTCTAGAGCGCTTAGGGGATATCTGAACTTTTTGAAGCTATAGTGTTGTACTACCTAGCAAAAAGAAATAAAGCAAAAAGAAAACAATAATAAAAAACTGTGCAGCACCTCAGCTCAGATGTTAACAACACACAGATGTAATCAAAGCTCTAGGACTGCACTCAACACTGAATTCTCCCCCCAAAATGAATACTCAACTTGCAACTAATACGTACATTCCTGTACAGTTTCATTGTAAAGCACATACCGGTTAAGTGAGAACCAAAACACCCATATAAGGGGGTAGGGTTACCCTATACTAGTTTCGTCAGGAGCTAGGGTTTACTATTCAAACAAAGCGGTTTCACGCAATTTTGTATTCGGGTGAGCATCCTGTTCTAGTTTGGAATAGTCTCTATGGCTCTTCGATATGCAACTAGGCCAAATGGTCAAAAGGGTACCTCAGCAAGACTACCTAATATACCTCTCACACCTAACACCGAGAAGTGAAAGGAGGATCAAACGGTACAGTGGTAGTCCAGATCCAAGGGTTGTGTTCCCATCATGGTAGAGCCCATGACCAGTCAACCTTTTGGCAAGCTTTTGGGCAAGCCTCCGGCAAACTGTCCAGGAATAACAGATGGCAAACACAGTGACTTAAATGCACTAATGCAAATGCAATGCAAAGAAACATATAAGTGTAGATAAAACTTCATATCATGATTTTCAAGTCAAGTTCTCTAATTTTTCCAGTAGAGTTGCTAGAAACTGTAGCTCGACTTTTTCGAGCGCCATTTCAGAAGTTGAAATAAGCCCTACAATATCGAACTCTCGTTGTTCTGAATCTGATCTCATAAGTGCAATGTAAAATAGATAATCACCAAAGAGTCCAAATCTGGAAAATCTTTTGAAAAATCAATTTTGAATCAAATTGTCAAAAATGGATGCTTTGCCAGATACAAAGTCACCACCTAAATATTTTTATTTTGGGGAAATTTAGGAAACCTATGACTCGTGCCAAAGGCCACGTGTCCGTCATCACTAAGATTGTCTCGACTCAGGAACTTAGGTGCGAGAGGGGAAGGTCATGAATGAATTTGAGCACCCCCGCTCGCCCGGTCAAAGATCAGCCTCTACTAATCATGATATGAATCTTATGTACATTATATGCTCTTGTTCCGTTTATTAGGCTAGCATTACTATGTGATGCGCAAACGCACAAGTATAGGCTAACTTGCAAGAATTGGAACATTTTGATTCATGTTTGTTTTGAAAATTGTTTCGAAATATGTACCACTTGAAAAAGTGATTACATATGAACATTACTAAAATTATTCCAATTCAAGCAACAAGCCTTCATCCACAGGCATTCAAGCAGTTATAGCAATTAAGCAATTAACCTCATGGCAAGCATTCTAGACATGGCAACAATCACACGCGTGCGATATGCTAAAGCAAGTAAAAGGCCCACCTAGTACTCCAAGCCAAATAAACAAAAGAGTTAAAAAAAATGTATGATCCTAACTTATGCGATATGGCTAATGCAATATAGCGATATGCAATTACTAGGCTCGGTTAATTGATATGTGAATTGATTTTGATAACATGTGGTCTAAGCACGCACTACAACAAAAAAGGTCTATGGTGACAAAAACGCGTGACGAAAAAATAGTTCGTCTCCAAATATACATGTTTTAGTGATGAAAATAAGATTTCGCCTCCAATTGTACTATTTTTAGAGAGGAAAACCAAATTTCGTCACCAAATGCTTAAAATCAATAAAAAATACTAGAAATCTAGGCTATTGTGACAAAATTTGGTAACGAATTTTTTTGTCTTAAAATTTAAGCCAAAGATGGCGAAATATTAATTTTGTCGTTTGTTTTAATTTTTCTCAAAACTATAGGAGACGAAAACAAAATTTCGTGTGCAAAAATGAGGCGCCAATTTCATTTGCATTGGCGCGAATTATTTTAGCTCATTGGAGACGAATATTTTTGTCACAAAATATAATTTTTTTTTGTGACGAACATAATTCGTCGCCAATAAATTCCATACCTATTAAACGATGTCATTGCATATTTCCATTTATTAGGCGACAAATATATTTTTGTCTGGGAAGGATAAGTTATGGAAGACAAAAATATTTCGTCACCAATAAACACTCCATCATGCAGACAATACCATTTCATCTTTCTATTAAATAGGCGACAAATATATTTTTGTTTCAGAAGAATAAGTTGTGGGAGACGAAAATATTTCGTCACTAATAAATTCTAATTGATTGCGTGACGAATATATTTTTCATCTCATAAAGTTAAGTTGTGGAAGACAAAAATATTTCATCACCAATAATAAACTCTTTGTTCTAGTATTGAAGGATACAAAAATATTTTATCACTAATCATTTCTCTTTATTAAAATGCCATGGTTTTGTGTTTCGAAGCATTGAAACGGTGACCTCAAGAGATACACTCTGACGCTTATCACTCATTCACGGACCTTGAAGTCGTGACCCAAGAAGACACTTTCTACAAACCCTCATTTCTCTCTCGCACTTGAGTCTACTGATTGAGCTTTTTGTACTTTCCTTCATTGTTGATGTAATCTGATATGAAATGTATATTGTCACCATCAATAAAGTTTTCTTTTTGTCGATTAAAAAAAAAAATGCATGGTGATTGGTATTTAATTGGTCCTACTCTGTTTGGAATGTTCTTTTTTTATGATTTTCTTTGCACGTTTCCGTGACTAAATCTTTGTCCTTTTGTGCCACCCTTTTTCTATTTTTTTTTTTTTTTTTAATGAATAAAGTCTATAATGGTCCCTAATTCGTTGCTTCAAAACCCTGATCAGTGATGAGTGGTCAGGATGGTTTCCAAATTGTGTTGGCAACAACAGTAATAATTGGGCACATCATTTACACCATGAAAATGAAAAGACTCTTGCACGCACTAAACTTTGTAGCCCCTTCTTCCTATGCTTTTATTCTCATTATTGAGGGTATACCTATCAATTGTTGACTCTCGATACGTATTGATTTATAATTGGTATGATTGATTTATAGTGAAATCCATATCTATTAATTCTTAATTGATATGTTTACTTTAGAATTGATATAATTAGTTTGACTGTGATAAAATTACTTTTTGCAATTAATGATTTAGAAAAAAAAAAAAAATATGTAATAACCGTAACATCCGATTTTAGATGCGTGTCCATCAATGGTTCTAAATTCTAATATCATTAAACCATAACACACCTTTGTAAATGCTGTGGTTAGTTTTTGTGCACACATCTTTCCTGCCCATTTATAAAGGCCCATTATCATAACACTAGTCTAATCCTTCATCGGGAGTAAAGTAAAATTTTAGTGAGGGTTTTCTTTTATAAATAATAATTTGTTAATTTTTTGTTTCTTTATTTTTGCATGTAGAATTTATTTGTTTTATTATTAAAAACATTGAGAATTTATTTTTACCCTTTATTAATGGAGTCTTTAGTCAATAAGAATTTTTTTAGTTGGGCCTTTATATGAAGAGGCTTTTCTTTTTCTTTTCTTTTTTTTTGTTGACAAAAAGTCCTTTTTTTAATAAGCTCT